TCTGAAAAGTACTGAAAGCAAAGCACATTCGAAACATTGTTTTAGCCTTCAAACGTCGCATCCCTCCTTTTATTTCTTCTTCTTCTTCTTTCTTCATCTTTCTTCTCTTTCTTCTATATATATTATCTATATATGTATTATATACATATACAAAATTATAACTTGAAGTTCTCATTATGTAGGCCTAAGAGAATTTCTTGAGAACTTGAGTGGAGGATGGAGTTCTTCTTCTATTTATAGATGAAGATAAATCCATGAAAAACCTTCAAGAGTCAATGTGGATTCATGTCTTTACCCTCCAACTCATGTACTCCAAATGTTTTAGAGGAAAGTGAAAATTTTTACTTTCCCACAAATCTCAATTTAGAAAATATTATTGTATTTTATATACATACATGTATTTAATTTTTATGACAATTCATGCAAATGATGTTTTATTAATCAATATGAGTAATACTAGATAGACTTAAAAGTAGACTTGATAATCTCAACCATTGAATAGGTAGTGAGTTCCAATAAATGCTGGGACCTATAGTGAAATTAATGGTTGAGATTATCAAGTCTAATTTTTAAGTTCATATAGCATTACTCAATCAATATATCTCTATTAATAAATAACTATATATATATATTTACCTATATAACAATTACATTATTTTTTTTATCTGTTTTAAATACCGCGTGAATATTCCGAGTTTACATTGTGGTCACGAGATGTGTCACACATAATTAGGATGGCTCAAGGTTCTCTGTTCAGCAGCAATGCTTGTTATTGTTAACAAGCGATTTGTGTTTCTCAGTAGGCCATGTTCTCGTGAAAGATACTTCGTCGCTGTTTACTCGGCTATAGTGTAGACAAGTTTGAAAGTGGATGCTTACCAATTACATAGGTGCTGACATTCTCTCCCATTCACCAGTCTCTTTCATGCTCTAAAAAAATATTCTGTCCCAGAGAAGAAAGAGGTCTTAGTTTGAAGTCAACGGAATAAAAAGCTACAAATGAAAAGGAGATCACAAAGTTTATTTGAAAAGAAAAAGATGACAAGAAAGAGTGGTACTACTAAGAGATTGCAACATGATAAATGAGATTGAGTAGTGACTTCTCAGCACTACTTCAAATCGAGATTTATCTTCAACAACTTAGTTTTCAGTTCAAAGTTTATCACAATCTTGAGTTGTGCTTAAACCCTCTTGTGCTCAGCTTGATTAGGTTCATTTGCACCTTTAAAATGGACCATTACTCCTAATTATAAAGAATGAACTAGGAAGATTTTTCAGTTGGTAATAGTCAAATTCTCTCTCTCTCTCTCTCTTGGTAGCCAACAATCTACCAAAAATGGGATATTGTGAAGATATGGTGTGTGCCAGAAGTTGAATGGCAAGGTAACAGCAACAATTATGAACATACATAGGTTCAAAAGTCAGAAAAAAGGCAAAAAAAAAGAATCTTTCCTTCTCCCATGTCACGCTTTGTAAGGTTGGTCCTCCTGTTTTATGCCCACCACTGGACTCTGTAGACCTATGACAAAAAGAGTCGTGAACTCCCTTCTCAGCTTCCTTATGTTCATCTTGCCCACAACTAAACACCTAAACTTCAAAACATTTGTTCTTAGAAGTGTTCCACTACATCACTGCATGTGGTCTTGAAAATATGATCTTATCTTATACCAGTTGGGCGGGGGCGTTAGTAGGGTGAGGTAGAAATGGGAGGGTTTGCCGGGTGAGAAAAAAGTGTCCGAATCAGTTTTGTGCACCTCGACTAGGCAACTCTCCAATCTAATCAAAGACAGGTCATTTACGTCAGAATTAGAATATTCATAAAGGATAAATCTCTCAAGACCTAATCTCGAGGTATTGCTAAGATTCAAATTTAGGACGTCTGAATTTACAACTTGTCTCTATTACCATTTGAACTAGTTAAGGTTAGAGAACACAAAATTCAACTCTAAAGAGCAGCCATTTTCATTGAAGGTTAAGTGTATTTTGAGTCCCCCTTCCAAACATCTTGGTTGGAGGTGACTGGTACCGTTTTATATGCAAATTTGGGTCAAGAATATATTCTCAAATTGGATCCAGATTTCCAGAGATTTATAATATGGATAGCATAGCACTACAGTACCCAAAAAAATCGAATAAAATAATTATTTTTAATGGTAAAGTAATATTTTTTAAAGATTAAATTATAATTAATTTAAATTATTCATGATCGATCATAAATAACACTAAGATTGAACTCGAGCTACACAATTAGGATTGAAGTCATCTTCAATTCGGACTTGATTCACACGATCATCGTTAAATTTGGACTGAATTCGAGTTTAATTTTTGAATAACCTAAGTTAGATTGAAATCATATTCGATTCGGACTAAGCCAAACTTCACTAGTACCTGTTAGATTCGGATTGGTCCCAAAACACAAGATCTCAACTCAAGTGCTATTCAAATTGTGATTGAGGTTGAGTGTGTTTTTGTTCGAGTGTCAACAATTGTGAAAATTTTTTAATTTTTTATTTTATACCTATTATTATAATAAAATCAATTATACACACTTATATACTTTCATCTAATTTATATTTTTGACACCTATTTTAACTTTCAACTTATTTTAAACTTTTTTATAAGGATTTCTAAATTTTTTTAAACTCATTTATTAATAGTATATTGTACATACAATTATATATATATATATATATATATATATATATATATATATATATATATATATATATAAAAGAAAAGTCTTATATATATATTAAATTATTATACATATGTAGTTATTATGTTATATTCCACGATTCAATATTTGTTATATTTTATTTTTTAGTATTCAATAATATTATAAGTGATCTAATCAATCTATTTAACAAATAAAAATTAATAATTCTATATTATTATTAGATGTGCAAATGCCTAAAGTAGTCGGAGAGATACTTAAATAAATGACAAAATAAGTACTTAAAAATTTATAGAATAAATCAATAATTAAAATACGATTAATTATTCAATACCTAATTTATTATTTAATTTAATTAAACATATAATTCATATCTTTTTATCAGAAATGCACCAATATTTAGGTATGGAAATCACGTGCTCTCTTTTCCCAAATGCAACCAGAATTTTCGACGTCGTAGCATACAAATAAAATTATTTTTTGGGACAAAACCATTATAATCAACATAGTTGGTACTTGATTAGGTATTGATATGACATTTTGAAAGGAGAGGGCATCACGAGCCACAAGAAAAATGCTCTATGAACTACTATTTCGAATCAACAACGTTTTCAAGTATGGTTGATCACGTTATTCTATGAATAGAAAATACGATCGTTGGTCTTTTTACTTGATATTTTATGAAAGAATTTTTCTTAATTTTACCCTACTCAATTAAGTGTTGTATTCCTACCTGACTTCCGGTAAAATTAATCGGCTAAGAAATTGAGTTCATTCTATAGCAACCCAAAACTCATTTAGCAAGTCCAAATAAAATTCCCCATGCAATTATATCATAATCTTTTTCTTGAAATAGTTTTCCAAGTCTTGTCATTAAACCAAGTCCATAGAGGCTGGATCCATTTGTAACAAAAACACTATTGAGTGGGAATAAAAGAGCTAACAATTCAAAAATTTATCCCGTAGATGCATGAACTACTCAAAAGATAAAATTGTTTTGGGTCCAAAAAAATTGGACTTATCAAAAAGGGCATCTTTAAGATGTTCATTCTAGATAAGTCTCTTAAAGGAGTTTTTCAAAACTATCATATTTGTACTTTTTCGAAAGTAATTTTAATTTCACCTTATTTTCCAAAGTTAGCATTAATTTTTGTAATTAAATATTTATTTTAAACCCTACTTCATAGGCAATTTACATATTTTACATTTTAAGATAGAAAGTTAACAAAAAAAATATATATATTTTACTAGAACATGAGTTATAGATAGACATGACTAGTTATAGATAGAGATTGGTTCAAAAGTACTTCTAAAATACATTTTTACCAAAACAGTTATGTATTTGGTATTTCAAAAAATTTATCTCCATTCTTTTTACTCTAAGAAGGTATGCCAAACGCTATATAAAAACTAAACTTGTAGTTGAAATAATTGATTTCACTGTGAATCTCATCATTTATTGAGATTCACTACATATTCAATGACTGAGATTATTAAGTTTAATATTTAAATCTAATTTTTAAATCCATTTACGATTACTCTTATTTGTGGTGATGAGTATCTTCCAAGATTTGCTAGTAATTTGAAATTTAATCCAACAAAGAGTCCTAATATAAAGAATGTCCAAAAAATCAGGGGACTAAATATATCTATTCTAGTTGATAATTATAACTTCAAACTCAATTACCTTTTTTCCAATTCTGCAGATAGAATCATATGTGCCCCACAAATAGTTTTTGAATCAAAACTTCCTTTGTTTTTTTAAGCTTAATTAATTAATTAATTACTTTAATATGGTGACTTGCATTATTTTTAGGAATAACACTAGTGTTGGGAAAAAAAATTGAATACCATACCAAAAAAATTCTTAATTGTTGCACTTGATTTGAATTTTTTTATAATCATTAATGATTAAAATAATAAAATAAAATAACTTTTCGATAGCAAATTCTAACACTTTTTTTTAGGAGCAATGCTACAAAATTCAAATAAAACTCAAAAATTATAACTTAAATGCATATCATCCTTTAAATGAGTGAATTTCATCAATTTTTCAATAGAGTTCAGTCATCCCACATTCATTCAAAAAATGATATATATTTAAATTTTAATTTTTGAATTTTATTTGAATTATATAATATTTTCCTTTTTTAGTGGTCCACAGGAAGAATAAGAAAAGTGAATTACTTGTAAGGCAAACCCTTTTATAAAGTAAATACTATTTTTTTGGTTATTAGCTAAACGACAAAATTGTATTCAATCAGGATTTTACATAAAATAAATATATAAGTAGTGAATATATCCGTTCAATATTCTAAGCACCACCATGGCTTTACCTATGAAGAACTCAGTATTCTGTCTCCTTCTTCTTCTTCCTATTTTGGCTTCATGTGTTGAAAAACAGGTGCTTGAATCTTCATTGGAATCTCTGTACAAACAGTGTGTGTGTGTGTGTGCGTGTGTGTTTATGACTGTTGTATTGTGATGTCTTTTGTGACTTTTATAGGTCTATATCGTGTACTTAAGAGAGCATAGTGAAGAGAAAGCATTGCATGAAATTGAAGAAACCCATCATTCTTATCTGTTTTCTGTGAAGAAAACTGAGGAAGAAGCCAGATCTTCTCTTCTTTACAGCTACAAGCACAGCTTCAATGGCTTCGCCGCATTGCTCACCCAACAGGAAGCCTCCAAACTGTCTGGTACACCAAACTGACAACTTTCTCTCTCCTTCTCTCTCTCTCTCTCTCTCTCACTCACACACATTATATATATTATGTATGTCTTATATATCAGAGTATTGTTTTTGAGCAGAGATGGATGAAGTGGTATCAGTGTCTCGGAGCAACCCAAAAAAATACTCTTTGCATACTACAAGGTCATGGGAATTCGTAGGCTTAGAAGAGGATACACAGAACAACTTGAAGAAAGATGACTTGTTACTGAAAGCCAAATATGGCAAAGATGTCGTAATTGGCATCTTAGATAGTGGTAATGTCATCCCAGCCTTGCACTATAAACACAATTACATATATTTTTTCTAACAGACATATTTTATTGCTGCTATGTGTCTCGGGTTCAACTTTACCATGAGTCCAAAAGACATGTGATTAGAATGATTTCTGGATTCATGAGTCAAAGGAAATGTGATTGGAATGGTTTTCTGTAACACAAAATGAAAAACAATGTATTGATCGATGGGTTGAGACTAGATGATTAATTTTGATGAGAGTGTATTGTTGATCAGGTGTGTGGCCAGAATCAAAGAGCTTCAGTGATGAAGGGATGGAGCCAATTCCAGAATCATGGAAAGGAATTTGCCAAACTGGACAAGCTTTCACCTTATCGAACTGTAATAAGTGAGCGTTTTTTCTTCTCTCTCTCTTTTAGGTGACATAAAGCTTTCTTATTCTATGGTTGTTTTTCAATCTTGGGAAGGTTAATTGGAGATATTCAAAATCTCTTGATAGATGACCCACCTGAATTTTGGAAGCTAGTACTGGTTCTTGGGAAAATACTTGTGTCTTTTCAGGTTTTAGCTTCAAAGGCTAATTATGTGCAGTTTGAAGGCAACAATCTCAATAATTTCTCCCAAATAAGTACCTACCGCAGCTCTCTCTCTCTCTCTTTCTCTCTCTCTCTCTCTCTGTGTGGAGGGGAAGGGGTTGGTGGTGGGGGAATGGGGGAGAAGTGATCAACATTATTTGAGATTATCAATATTAACGTGTATTAATTAATACAATCGTTTTTTTTTTACTATACGTCAACAAAATGAGTCTTTAGAAAACTTATCAAGAGGCAGAACCAAGAAGTCTTGGGATATGTATTATGACCCCAACCCCTAATGATCTTTCTCCAGGAAGATGACTACAAAAACTTAATCAACAAACCTTATCCAGTTAGTATAATCCTTGACCTTTTTTAATAGGATGTTAGAGTTAATTCCACCA